CACAACGTACCAAATTGTAACTAGTTAGATAGAACGGCCTTTGGCCAAAGTCCTACATAGCCAACGGCTGATACAGGACTATAATGGAATAATAACCCGTCGGATTCTAAAGATCATGAACTTCGGTCTAGCCGCTCTGATCCGATTGGTCATTTTTGGCACATGAAGTTTTTCGCCACACAGTAACGGACGTTAGGCTAAAAACTACAGACACCAAAAATATCAGAGCGGCGATAAGTATATATCCCTCTCTCCTATACTAAGATATGCTAGACTCTTTGTTACATATGCTATGTAAACATAGCGGTTCATCACGTATTATATCTAGCAATATACTTTATGCTCTTGTTACCATGCGTTCCCTTCTTCTGGTATGTACGGTTAGCATTTTAAGTTATTATTTCTAATATTTAATAGAATCCTAACGGAAACGAGGATTTATCAAGTTATGCCTGGACTAAAATGGAGGAATCGGGAGAAGACGTGCGTCATCGTCATTAAGACAGACTCGACTGACGCTCCCCAGTTCATTTATCTAGGCAAGTCGTTCTTAACCTTACTTGCAACTGTACAGGGCAGTTATTTTGATTATCTTCAGGAGGAGCTTTCCCCTCATAAATTGGTATTTCAGCAATCGTCCCGCGAAGAGTCAAATGAAGTCATAGAGCGTTCTTTAAACAGTACTCACAGTACCCAATTTTATTCTGGAGTTCTTGATTCACGTCTTCTTAATGCCAGCATACCTGATGCAAGCCAACGTAGTTCTCTCCGCCACGAAACCAGTCGAGCGTCTTTTAGTAATGGAAAGACGCTGCGTTGGAGCAACAGCGTAGAACACATATCCCGAAACCCAACACAGGAAGATTCTACAGCTACACAAGGATCGGGACATTTTTTGGATGAAAATGAATCCTCATGTTCCAATAATGAGCACGATAGTGAGTTGGGATTCATCCTGAAAGATGTCCCTTCGCTACACTTAGCTACCCAATCAAGGATGCCTTCCGTATCTCCATCCATTCTATCATCGACCTGGAGTACAAGCCCGTTACAGGAGACGAGATTTACGCTGCCTGATGACACAATGATGACTCACTGGCTTTACTCGTATGACCAGTTGAGCCGCCTCTATGGATCTCCGTATGAAGAGATCAAGTACGTGGTTGAGATCGGCGATTCGTTTCTGCGAGAAGACGCAAAGAACTTCATAGATAGTTTCTGCCGCAGGTGGGATGCAGATGATCCATGGTCTCGTCTTCCTACCGGCAATCCAGTAACTGGGATGTCTTTGACAGAGAAGATGTTTAAGAGTCTACAGTGTGCTGAGATAATCTCAGCTGACTCATTGATTGAACCTATCAAACTGAGAATGGCGAGAGTTCTCTTATATCATCAATATGAGCAGAAAATCGTCGATCTTAGACACAATACTAGCTTACCCACTCGTCTTTCATCAGGAAAGGGTTTAGCTAGTATAGCAAAGTCTGTCATCTTGGAAAAAATATATGGGTCACAGTACAAAAATCTCACTCCACGGGCTAGTAAAAAGCGTAAGAATAGTCTGAAGTGGCATATAAGAATTGGAAAAAGATGGTCATATGTGATATCCCAGCTTGGCGCTGGAATAATCCTAACTTGTAGCCAGGTTCTAGAGATTCATATGTAAGAAACATATCTCATATATTTTTTATCAAATCTTCTAATAATCGTGTATAAATAATCCTAAGAAGCTACCAGACCGGGGGTTGATGATACTTTTGACATACTTATTACATGCATACCCAAAAGGTATCAGCGCTAGTCGAATGGTTGATCTATTGGTTAAATCTATCATGGAAGACGTTATGCCATTAACATTTCCGCTTGCGGCAAAAGCAACAAATAGACTCGAAATATATAGTCAGGAAGAGGAAAAATCCACAGCTAATCTGAAGGGGGAGTGGCATCCAGTGAATCGGCCAGACAAGGTTATGAGCGTGATCTCAGTAGAGTAGCTGAAATATACTGTCATTTGCAAGGGTTTGAAGAAGGATACTTCTCTAACCGCATAGCAAAGCGTTTTTGGTAGCAAAATGTTTCACCCTGCTCCTAGAAACTCCGTGTTTCTAGAAACGTTCTGCTGCTAGAAACGTTCTGCTGCTAGCAACGCTCTGTTTCTAGCAACGCTCTGTTTCTAGCAACGCTCT